TTAAAAAACTATTTTAAATAATTAATTGTTATCTTCTGTGAACAAATAAAATAAAATATAATATAATATATATTTATTTATTTGATATTATAAATATAGAACCAATAATATAAATAGTAATTAAATAATTAGAATTCCACCATAGTTTTACAATAACTATAAAAAATAATTTTGTAATGTAATACAAAACATGTTATAAAATTATGGTATACATAACAAAAAGTAATAAAAATTTACATCTATTTACATATCAAAAATTCCCGGATTTTTAGCTCTTTCGTATGTGTTATTAGATTGAAAAAAGACACAAGATATGCAATGAGTATCACTCATATCTCCATCATCAGTGGAATCAAAAGATATGTCATCTTCAATCTCAGAGTTATCATTTATATACAAATCATCATCTTCATCAAATCTTCGTTCACCAAAAACAAATTTCAAGTCCTCATACACACAATTTTCTTCAATGTAATAACACTGTCTCAGCTGTGAAGGTTCTTTCAATAAACACATTTTAAGACTTCTTTTATATAGTAATTGCTTATTAAACGTTTTATATCGTTGTGATGTCTGGTGTGGGTTCATTGAATGTGAATTGATTTTCTAAATTGCTTTAAATAGTATGGTCGTTCTGGTTAAGGCAGAACAAGTAAAAATTGGGCACAACCTTTTGCAATATTCGGCAATTTACTCTTTTTGGTTAAACTTTTCTTTTTTTAATATGAATTTTGTTGTTGTTTTGGAATAATAGCAATTTTTTGGCTTTTAATAAAAATATTTTCATTTTTAGATAATTCTATTGTTTAGTTTATTTTAGGGATCTATTTCGATTGTATTTTTTATTAATTATAATAATACTATATTTATATTATTGTTTTTCTTGGCTTGTGATGAGGGAAGTTTACATGCTTGTTATCTGATTTTTTTATATAATTATTTTAACCAATTAAAAAAGTATTCCCGTTTTTTGGCTATTTTAATGAATAAGAGTTAAACCGTTTATTTTTTTTAATTATTATTATTTTAAATTTTTTAAACTATACTTAATAAATTCTTCATATATTCGTTTGTATTTTATAACTCCTTATAGGTTTTAATTCGTATCTTTGGATATTTAAGAAATTTCGCCTGATTTGAAATTTTTAAAAACGAAATGTTTTGTTTTTTTTCTTTAAAAAAAATAAAAATGTGTGAAGTTTTAAACATAAATAAATTTACACTTCATATTTTCTTGATTCACTTTGCTGGTTTCACAATCGTTAACTATTAATATATAATAAATAACTATAAAGTTGTGGTTGTTATTGAATGATTTTCGTTTATAAGACAAAAATTACCAATAACAAGTAATCAGAGAATTTGTGTTAATTATTTTATATTTAAATTTAAATTAAAAAAATATCATTTTTATAATAAATTAACTACTTATTGTTAGGAAATGTTATTTATAAAGAATAAAATAGATTAATTAAACGTCGACTAAAAATGGTTAATTTGTTTTTGAGATGGGGTTTTAAATCTTAAAAGAGTTTTTAATCTATTTGATGAATTGGTGTTTCTATAATACTATAAATTGTAATATATTTATTAAAATTAAATATTATAATTTATTAATAAAAAATTTTTAAAGCAAATAATGAAAATTTAGCTAAAATATTATTAAACATTTAACTATTATATTACTATTATTAATTATAAATGACAACAGATAATTAACTTTTTTTTAAATAAATTCACTTTCAAGCAAAGTTAGAGTTAAAAATGTTATTGATGGTATACTCGTCTTCATAACTATAAATTAAAAATTTTTATCATATTTATATAATCATATTAAAACCACATTTCCTCGATATTTTCGCTATGTATTTTTATTGCATTTTAAATTACTTATTTATATTTAATTGACATAATGTCACTTCAACAAAACAATTTCATTTCATATTTATGTATTAACTATTTGTATTATCAATGAAGACTCATAAATTGTATTTCTGTATTGTTGATAGAAACAAATAACAATTACAACATGTTTTCCTTTATACTTTTTTGTTAATATCAACTTTCATTAATATACTTTGTTGAATTATTTAACATTATCAATACATAACCGATATATAAAAATTGACTTTTATTAAACACATTGAAAAACATAAATATACAAATAACACTGTTTTATAATACACTTACTCGAATATTTCTGGAGTTTTTGATCGTTCGAAATCGAAAGACAGAGACGATTTTGATCTTTGAATATACTTGTGATTGATATTTACAACAATTTCATCATCTTCATTGTATATCGAAGTCTCACCATATGGTTCTTTTTCAAATGATGGTGATCCAGACAATATTGAAAGTATTTCATCGTCTTCTAAATTGAGTTGTGGTGAGACTGATTGTGTTAAAAAGTCTACTTCGACTCCCTCTTCAACAAAGTAGCATTTTCTCAATGGAGAGTAGTTGGCATGAATCGATTTTCTTTTTCGTGAGTTGTATTTCCTTTCACATTTTCTATTCATTTGAGGCTGCATTTCTTGGTTCATCATATCTAATTATCTGTAATCAACTGAATTCATTCCTTTATATATGTAACAACCCTATTGTACTTTTGCTATTTTGAGTCACTATTTCTGTAATTAAAATGGTCAAAAACATTTTGGAACAGTCTCAAATCACTTTGTAACTGAAAAAACTCCGTTTTGTAATATGAAGGATCTTTTACTTCAATGTACTATTCGGAAATCAATAAATAAACGAGAACTAATCGTACAATGCTAATTATAGAAAACAAAAAAACAACGTTTTTTTCTAAAAGCAATAACGTTTAATTGCACTGATAACAAATTTGATTAGTCAAGTTCGCT